GGTATCATTATCAAATATTACTTTAAAACAAGCCTCATGAACTACATTTTATTTTTTAGTGTCTTCTACTTGTTGATAAAGACAATGCAAAAGCTATACATACAAATATAGACAAGATGCCAAAAATATTCTTAAGGACAACCTTGCTTTCCATCTATAGACAATGTATCAGAAATGATTAGAAAACCCTATTTCTGAAGACAGATGCCTTTATACCTGAGAATCTGCTCCAATCTATAAAGCCTGTTTTTGTAAGGTCTATTTTGGCATGGAATGTGTAAAAGAAAGTTTCAGATTTGAACACTTCTTCAAAAAGACTTGTTACTGACCCACCAGTTTTATTACTACCCTGTCTTTCTCCTTCAGTGCCTTTGCCCTGAGGCTATTTCAGTTTTGAAGCTAAAGATAGTACTGTTTCCAAAATAATTTGAATCATATTTAATAACCAAGCTTATTTTCATGGTACTACAGTAAAATAACCAATCTTCTGCCTTAACTGCTTTTAAACTGGTAATCTAACTTGTTTATTGGCTAGACAGATCCTTGTTTTCATTCATAGATTAGAAAGGTGCACAGACAGTTAATAAAATTATCTAGTAGGCTGGACAGAAACATATATAAATATAGACAGACGAATAAATATAAGTAATAATGCCACATTAACTTGTTTGAAGTTATATAGATATATAGATATCTACATTGATATCTATATCAACACAGATAAAAATATAGATATAACAATTTATATTGATTGTTGTATCTATATAACTTCAAGCAAATTATGTGGCATTATTATCTATATCTATACTAATATATATCTAGATATCTATATTGATCATTATATCTATATAACCTCAACAAGTTATGTGGCATTATTACAAATCAATTCAAATCCTTCACTTTCTCTGCTCAAGTAATTTGATTTCAAACTCTCTTACTTCTAATTTTCTGATATTTCATTTTGTTTTCTTGCCTTTGTTCTATTAGTTTATCAACAGGACAGTCAAGTTTTACCAATCATTTAGTGTATATTTGGAAAGATGTGATGATGTGAAATAAGCAGGAAACATTACCTAACCCCTTGGGGAGCTTACAATCTGATTAAGAAAATAACATTTAAACATATTAAGTGATTAGAGAACAGGATGAGACTGTGCCCTGAAACCACTCATATAAACCCCTATCCAATGGAGGGGAATCTGGTGTAGGGGAGACAGGTGAGGCTATCATCAATTTGTCCAAGGATATGTTAGTAGCAAAAAGCATTAATGAATGTACAAATAGATTAGTTAACAATGGACAAGATGTTTACACTCATACACACAATGGCCTTCATAGGTCACAAAAAGTAATGGAGACCCTGACACTCAGAAGGCTATGCAGACATCTGAAATTTTCTCACAACGCTATTACATCTACTGCTTTAACAATAAGTGTACTGTGTATGACTTTATATATTATCAAACACTGTGTTTTCCTGACAATGAAAGCAATCAAGTATAAATAAAGGTTCAAATTTGTAAGCTGATATACAAAACTGTAAATCTCTCAACATAACTTGGCTCTGGTCTGGAAGTTTTACCTCTTTAGGTAAAAAGCTCAGAGAAATTTGAAAGTGTAGACATAAATGAAATGGAATGTGTTCCATGTATTGTATTCTAGATGAAATTAACACACTCATTAATCAATACAAAATAGTAATCTGAACACTGACTATAAACACATTACTATACATAAATATTGCATATTCATATCAAAAAAGTGGAGAGACATAATACCAGGACTATTTACATGGGTGTTCTTTTTACCAAACATAAACTGAAACAAATGTAGGCATATATTATTACATTTCATAAATATTAATTAAAAAGAATTTGTTAAAACTGTGCCTCAGAGATATTATTGCCTTTAAATATCCTATAGAAAGTGTTATACTTAATTTGCATTCAGTATTTATTCATGTATTTTAGAAATTGTGGCTATCTTTCAAAAGTGTGTAAGATGCAATACTGTAAAATTTTCAAGATGGGGTAGTTTACACGGTTTTTAAAGAGACAGAAATAGAAAAATTGTATTTATTGAATAATATAGAGTAGTTGTTAGTCTTAAAAAGCTTTGGAGTCAGACAGGGATTCACAACCTGCCTTTACCATTTACTAGCTTTGTAACCATGGGGGGAGTCATCATTACTCTTTCTGGGTCTCTGATCTCTCATTTTAAAACATGGCTATAAAAATAGAACCTACCTTGCCAAGTTATTGTGAGGCTAAATGTACATAAAGCATTGGAAGTGTTTAGCACAGCCCTCCAGCCCATGACACAAAAAGGCTCTTAATAAATAATAGCTGTTATAAGAATTATTTTTACAATTTAAATATATCTATACCTATGTCTCTCTCTCTCTCTCTCTCTATATATATATATATATATATATTCCAAAATGTTCAGCCTATTTTGTTCTACAACAGTAAAAAGTATGCTAAGATGTCTCACTGTATAATATCTATTTTTCTGAGGTGGAATTTTTTTAAAAAAAGAAAACATGGTAGGTTAAGTTAAAGGAATTTGTAGTCAGTTACTCTCTACTAATGTCAGTTCTAATTATGAAGTTGTCAGCACCGTTTTAATTGTCAGGTCACTCCCCATCCTCCAGCCTCATCCTCCTCTCGATACAGCATTAGACATGGGCAGGAATATAGGGGAGGAGTGGGTATTGCGACCTAGCAGCTGGACTGGAGCTGTAGGAAGGATCCATGCTTTATGTACTTTGAGTTTGTGCATTTGACGTAAGGCTGCAAAAGGGGCTGGGAGGAGGGAGGTAAAAGCAGCAACAAAGTAACTCCCATGTTCTCCTGTGACTGATCAGAAATGTTAATTCACCTGTCCTCCCCACATGCACCAACTGAGCAAACACGGTTTTGCAGCAAAGGATTGGGGTGTATGCAGAGTTGGTATCAGTCACCAGCCACTTGTATTCCTGTGTAACTGAGCATGCCTGGATGTGGGCTTGCCACTGCACTAGCTGCTCTGAGGCTGCAGAGCCATATATGGACCATCCAAAATCCTGAGACTGCTAAAACCACTCTCGAATTCCTAGTCTCCACCATTCTTTCTGGTTACATCCTTCTGGAAAGTTCTTCACTATCTTTTCTTTATGAAAATCCTGCGCATCCTTCATGGCCCTGCCCCCACGTCCCAGGGGGCCTCTCACGAGTGATAGGGCTCTGCCCAGGCTCCTAGGGCTCCTACTGAGATTGACAGTGAGGACTAAATCTTCACTCACAGAAGCAGAGGAAGAGGTATCCATCTCCTAGACCTCTTCCAGTCAGCTCCACCGCCTGAAGGCTCTGAGGTTCAAGAGAATTCAACACCCTGCACACCCTTCTCTCACCCCATCAGCCCTCACCCCTATCCTCAACGCAGCCAGCCATCTCCAATCCTGAGGCTTCGCCTTTGACCAGAGTCCTAACCCCACCCTAGCGGGAAGCGGTGCCTGGGAACTACAGTTGGAACGCACCCCTTAAGGATTCTGGTACAGGAGGAGAGAGGACTCAATTTGATAAATACCAGCGGGGGGGAGGGGAGGGGGGAAGTGGTTTAAAAAATTGGTTGAAAATTTATAACACACACCAGAAGAGGTGCTGAGACAGGAGGGGCTGCAGGACAGACCTAATGGAGAGGGTGTGTTTGGCAGAGGCAAAGTTCACTACCCCCCGTCAAGTTCACTAATTGTAGCAATCTACCAAGGTTGCACCGAGTGTACTTTTGTTTCTTCGACAGATAACTGTCAGAGCTCCTTCTAGTCTTATAGTTGACTGTATTTTAACTTTCAGAATTATTTAAGTAAAGATTTTAAGAAGGCTAGTTGATTGCTGTCCTTAAGTAGGGTTTCAGGGAGCTTGGGCAGGCGCACTAGATGGGTCCGCACGGAGACGGCTTGGGGATCCTGGAGCGCCGGTCCTGGGTGAGTCTCCCCACCGCGGGCTCCAACCTCCACCTCCCGCCCCCGCTCCGACCCCTCCCAGCCCGGCGTGTGCTACCCGGCACCCCACGCCCGCTCCACGCCGGCTCCTCCCGTCGCCTCCGCCCCCTCCCCCTCGGGCCCCCCGCGTCGTCCTCGTCCCACACCGACTTCGCTCTCGCCAGGCTGCCGGCCGCACTTCCCGCCCTCGCCTCGATCGCGCCGCCGCCGCCCTCGCCGCCGCGCGCCACCGGCGCTCCGCTTCTCCCGGCCGCCTCTTCTCGCTCGACTCCGCCGCCCTCGCCTCCGTTGCCGTCGCCGCGCCCCGGACTCGGTCGACTCTGCGCTCCGTGACCGCCCCGGGCCCCTGGCCGACGTCACTGTCCCCGCCGCCGCCAAGGCCAACACGGGGGCCACGCTCCACCGCGCCGCTCGCCCGCCGCCCACCATGTCCCCGCAGCAAAC